GTCAGCGTGCTGCACCGATCCAAAGCCAGGAACCAGGTGCTTCCTCCTGGTCTCCCATGCGGGTACGGGGACCCAAGCACTTGGGCCATCCTCCACTGCCTTCCCCAGGCCACAGCAGAGAGCTGGACTGGAAGAGGAGCAACTGGGACAAAATCCAGTGCCCTGACCGGGACTGGAACCCAGGGTGCCGGCGCCACACGCAGAGGATTAGCCTTGTACTATAATATTTTGAGTGATAATATATTTACTCTTTGCCCCTGGTTCTTGTCACAAAGTCCCAACACTGTTGGGATATTCTGAATGATGGTGTCTTGTGATTCACAAGAGGCTCCTTTCCTTCACAACTGAATCTATGATAATTAGGTGACTGAAGATGTGGTTCCCCTGACAATTGCAGGATAGAGCTGGTCACCAGGAAAACCATGCTATCAGAGTTGGAACTAACCAATGAGAAGCAGGGTGGGGAGCGGAACATGATGTTCTATAAAGTGTCTATAACAATGAGGCTTGATGAGCCTGGGGTTAGTGAATACAACCATGTGCTGTGAGGGCAGTGCACTCCAACTCTTTAACCCACAAAGAAGCTTTTGTGCCTTGGGGGCCTCTCAGACCTTACCCTATTTACCGCTTTATGTGGCTGTCCATTTGTATCCTTTATAACATCCTTTATAATAAACTGGTAAATGGAAATAGTGTCAAAGGGGTGTGCAAATCCCCACGATTTGGTCCAATCCCATAGAGTATGTGTAAGCTGAGGACTCATTATTTGAGACTGACATATGCAGTGAGGTGCAGTCCTATTGGACTGAGCTCTCCACTAGGATCTGCACTAACCCTGGGTAATTAATGTCATAAGTAAATTGCATCTAGTTGGTATCTAAAGAGAAATGAATTAGTGCTTAATGTAGAAAACCCACATATTTGGTATCAGAAATTTTGCAATAAACAGATCTTAGAAATGAATAATTGTTATTAGCTTCTTCCTCTTTGAAACTCCTCACTAGAATTCCTTTTATTCTATGTTCACCCATTGTGGAAAAAAAAAAAAAAGTCACTCATGCCACTGCCCTCTGAAAACACTGTTTCCACTTCTGATAGATGTACCCTTTTTGTCTTTACATATCTTGGTGGCAATTCATGTTAGCTCCCATACCATGTACCTTATACATGACAGCCCATCTGAAACAATGAGGACAGTGTCTAGTTTTACTTTTTAAGTAGCCATGACACTCTACTTTACAGTGGGCACTTGCTCATTAAATGTCCAATGAATTGAATTAAATGAAGAATTTAATAAATTCAGAACCAAATGCATTCAACACCAGAACATTCACTTAAGCGAACTGAGCAGGTGGAGCTAGACACAAATTTATTCAAAGCAGAGCTCCCAGGGAATACAATGTACCGGATTAGTTGGCATGATTTGCTGCCTGGGCTGTAGGCTCAGGAACATGCCCGCCCAGAAATCTGGAAGTAGATTTGGCAAACAGAGCTGCCCAGAAACTCTTGGCCTTACTCAGCAACACAAGGATCTACTTTTGCTGTTACCAGACTCTTTGGTGGTGTTGCTTCAATTTACAAGAGGTAACAAATATTCCTAACAGGTGTCTCAAGTCAGGTCCAGTATTGGGGTGTGAGAAAAACAGTTGGTATCTGTTCAGGTCCTGATGATGGGCTTGATTTAAGCCCTGGAAAATGCTTTTCAAAGCTAGCTGGCAGCATATCTCAACACAACCCACATTCACCATTCACTTAGCATTTAAAGGACTTCCATAAATCACCAGCTCCTCCAAAATGCTTCATGGACAGCTGAATTTTCCTTGGCAATGATTAAACTGTTGATACCATCTTCTCCCCCACCTTGTCAACATTCAGAGAATTCAGGGGCTAAACAAAATACCATTTTATATTTGTTCCTAAACCTTCCTCTGCCACATAAGGCATATCAAGTTGTTCATCAGCATTATTTACAGTAAGAGAGGCTTAAGAAACCTAAGTGAAGGGAAATGGTTAAGCAAATTATAAGTTTCCACTTGTTTACTGTAAAAATACACTAGTATGAATATAGTAATATTTCGAGGTATACAAATATTTACTCCTCTTACCTTTATAGTATATATCAAAACAGTATGAATATGAATTTTAATGATATGACATTTTGCACATTTAAAAGATCAACTTATGGAAATCCTGGATTAGAGAATAAATCATAAAAGGGTATTTTGGGGAAGAAAGTTCTGGTCCCATTCTTTGCCTTTATAAAACAAATGAGTGTGTGTATGTGTGTGTGTGTGTGATGTCCAGTTGTAACCCTCATAAAATATTTAACAATTTACCTCAATAAAAGCACTAATTTGTAGCATTTACTGACTTTCATGCTGCCAATGTTCCCAGTGTAGGCAATAATAAAACTACCAATAATGACATCACTGAACACAGTGTTGCAAAAGATGCATAATTGACCTCACAGGGCTTAGGTGCCAAGGCAGCCCCAACACATCACCATCCTTCATTTTACCATAAATGCCTCCCTGAGCCAAAGGCTACACACCTAAAGGTGGCTCCTAGAAGACAATTTCCCATGTTCAATTTGAAGATCCTCCATTAACAGCACAGCTGCCTGACAAGACAAACTCACCAAGATGCAAGCTAGAAGGAGCAGGTATACATCTCCTTTATCCACTCTGAGTCTTCATCCTGGACTTCCTGAATTTCAGTCAGCTGTAAGGCCCAAGGTCAAGATTTTGTGCTGGACTTTTATAAAGGGAATAGCTTACTTATGAAAAAATATTGAATATGAAAAATAACCTATGTGAGCAAGAGCAGTGAACATAATTTGGGGTTTCTAAGTAGACCTGGAAAACACAAAATATTGGAAAATTGGCCAAGAATTCTCAGGGCTGGTAGGAACCTTTGCAGATATCAAATATAATAATTAATTTTGTAAAAAACTGAGGACCAGAGAGATTGTTTCAAAGCCAGGTTTCAACTCAATGGATCCTGACCCCAATTAAACTACTTTTGCTCTTAATATGGCACTATATAAAAATTCATGCAAGTTCAAATGTTAGGATGTTTAGTATATTTCATGACAATAAGCATCCTAAGAGTTTGTAGGTTATCCCAGGAAGAAAGTTTTTAAGATAGCTTCAATAGGTTTCTATTCAAGAGAAACCGTGACACCTAACCTATTGAAGAAAAACTCTGAATAAAACTCGTAAAACTACCCAGATAAAAATAAAATGGTGGGAAGCCAAATTCATATTTTCACCATGATACTAGTGTTTGCTAATTTTATGAGCCTACCTTGGGGTATACAAATCAACCCATACACAACACCAAGGTGTTTCGATTTGGCTTTATAATTCAGGTTAGGATTTCAACAGTTTCTCACTGGTAGCACTTAAACATTAATATTCTGTATTACTAACTGGAACACAGTTTCAGTCTCTTGATGGAAATTAGCATTGTAATTCATACTACAATAGAGTTTAAAGGCAAATTACTGATTTGACAACTCAAGGGGACTGAACAAGAGTATTTTTCAGTGTTCTAACACACTAGAGACACTCTTCCTAACTTCTTCATTCCAGTTGAAAAAATCCAATACTAGATCTTGAAGTACTCTGTATTTACCTAGAATAAAGTCAATGGAGCTTCATTTCCAGATGGTGGTGAACCTACTGTGGGGAAAAGATTCAGCTGATAACTGTCTGCAAAGGCGAATTCGCACGCGCTGGAGGTGATGTGTAAATTGATCATAGGAAAAACAGTTTATTGTTTATCAGCCTAAGAGGAATGAGTTCAAGACGTTACCTTACTTTTTCCAGTATCTTAAAATCACATAATTGGAGAAAACACCCATTAAACACATGGAAAGAGGAGGGAGGGGGAATGCACCAAACCTTTGCATTATTGCAAACAGGCAACAACCCACTTAGTAATTCAGTTGAAGGTCTGAAGAGGAACACAAAGGTTTGCAGGTGACTAATCACATAGGATTCTCCAGCTTTCCATGCCCTATGATGAACCTTTCCCATTACTACAGTCAAATGGAAAGACATGGTAATTTTACAGAGAAATGTGACTCTGAAGTTAAAAACTTTTTCAAGGTCATACCATCAGGCACAAAACCAAGATGAGGATCCTGTGTTTCTGATTCTCTATCCAATGCTCTGACTTGCTATAATACCTGTATTTCCTGCCTAAAATTTATACTGGATTTCCCAAGTGTAAGAAATACAGCTTATTTATGGTTTAAATACAGTCTTAAAAGAGCTTTTAGTAAAAATGGGAAAAATTTCAAGATTTGGTTGAAATAACAGAATGTGGGTTTGTTTTAGAGCAATTATCTGGTATTAAAATGTTGGCAACCTTTTATGTTAATATGCAGACTTAGAGATCTGGGTCAAGCGTGAAGAGGGTCAAGAGAAATCTGTTTACATCAGTTGGCAAAGAATAATACATTTCGGAGGTCCAGACAGGGGTCCTTGGAGTCTTTGGGGCTTAATTAATATCTCAGTAGTATGTGTGGCTTTTGGTAATGCTCCTATTTTTGTTTCCTAACTTTAGGGAATGAGAATTTGGCCTTAAAGCAACAGACAGCTGTGAAATTGAATGCTCCATTGGAGCATTTTAAATAGCACATTTGGCCTTTGGAGGTAACTAAACGGGTTTTAGGTCTACAGACTTATATAATTTACTATTTTGCCCAAATTTCTACCTCTTCCAGCTGACTCACTCTAACTTTTAAACTGAGCCGTTCATTACTCACATTCCCTACAGTCTGTAAGGTAAGTAGGGATTGACTTCCCACAAGGCTGGCAAAGCTTATTTCTTTTCAGACGATAGAATTTTATCCACCTCTTTTCCTACCAGAAGAACAAATGGAAAAGTAAAAATTGCAAATAGTCTAGACTAGGCATTGGTTAGCTGTTCAACACTACAATGAATTACCAAACACACCAACTTTATGAAGATAAAAGATTCATTTAACTTACTGTTTTGGAGGTTCCAGTCCAAGAGTGGGTGTCTCCATCATTCTGGCAGCTGGGGAGAGAAGCAAACAGCAGCAGCAGAGCACACAGGCAAGAAAAAGCACTTAGTGACCCTTGAAGCAGAGGGAGAGGCAAGGCCAAAGCTCAGGCTTTTATATCTTCCAAGGGCTACCCCACCCCACCCCAAGGAACTAAGATCCTCCCACTAGGCCCCACCTCTAATCAACATAATTGGATTTTCCCCACCCTTAGTATGATTAACTTATAATTTTGGAGTTTGATGCCCTGCATGAGTTTGGGAGGCAAATCACATTCAAGCCACAGCAACTTAGCACCTAGACATGAAGGTATGGTCTAAGAAATGATTCTAACCTTAGCTGCTGGCTACCTTCATCTGAGGAGCTTCACATGAGCCTCATGTCCCATCTCAGTTTCATAAGAAGAGGGCAGATGAGATCTCAGCATTGGCAGGCTCTAAGCAGCTCCTCAGGTGGGTCCAATGTTTAGCTAAGATTGAGAACTAGTGTTTGGCAACAGCTCTTCTCAGATGTTAGTGAGCATCACTTTCACCTGGAAGCTTGTTAACACAGACTACTGGGCAGACGGAGGAGTCTCAGTGCTTCTCAGGCTGTGACCTTCAGTCAGCACAATGGCAACACCTGCGAGCTTACAGGAGCGTCTCAGGTCCCCCCTAAGAGCAAGTCACTGAGAAGGCAGCTCCTCGGTCTTCAGCTTCATTAGCTCTTTTGGGGTGGACATGGTGACACAGCCAGTTAAACTACCACTCGGGACACCAGCATTCTGTATCAGAGTGTCTGGGATAGAGTCCCACCTCCACTTCCCATCCAGTTTCCTGATAATATGCCTGTGTATCATCAAATAATGATTCAAGTACCTGACACCCACTTGGGAGGCCCAGACGGCGGAGATCCCATCTCCTGGAGTCAACTTGCAGCCTCAGGTGTTGCAGGCCTCGGGGTAATGAACCTGCAGATGTAAAGTCTCTGTTTCTTTCCCTGTCTCTAACTCTGCCTTTCAAACAAGTAAAAATAAATAAATAAAGGTTTAAAAAGGATTACTAGCTCTCCACATGGTACTGGTGTTTGCTGAAGTATGCAGACCATTGGTCTCAAGAAGATGGTCAAAACTTTACAACAATAACAGCTGAAATTACCAATGATGCTAATAATCCATCCACCTGTTAACTGCCCAGTCTGCCTTTTGATGCTACGAAATCCCAATGCCTATAGGATCCTTTTCCCTAACTTGTCCACACAGATTAACTTTTCCAGTTCTCTCATGGACAGCATTCATGAATGCTGGGGTCACCTGGGAAGGTGAGACCCTTCTGAGCTAACTTAAGCCTTTGTGAAATTAATGGCAATATGTCTGCCAAGATTGTCATTTTTGATCAAGGCTAGAGGAGGAGAGTTAATTTAAAGCAAAGTCCTGGGAAAGAAGTGCCCAGGACTCCCGGGAAACCCAGCACACTGCTACTGGTTTAGTGAAGAATGATATTCCCACTCTAGCCTTTAGCCTGCTTCACGGGGTCTAGGCAGACTATGGACACAAAGCATATGGAAGAAAGAGCTTCTGCCTGGACACAGAATTCAATTCATTTTCTATCCCCACTTTCTTCCACACACTCCCCTTGACAGAACATCTTGTTCATCTCTCTTGACCCCTATTTTCTGTCAGGTCCCTTGTGGTAACAGAGCCACCGCAGGTTTTTATTTATTTCTGTTCAGTCATTGTCTCCCTTCAAGTAAAACCTTTCCTAAAGCTGAAACAGAATGTCAAAGTCACTAACAATTCCAGGGTTATCTTTTGGTGTCATCTTCAGCTGTGAGCAGTGCTATAACATTACTTCCAAACTAGCTCCTTATAACCAGTAGAACTCTAATAAAGGGTTTAGATGAAGTGACTGCTGATACACACATTCTGACTTCTGGGCCTGTACCCCTCAGCTCTGTCATACAAGCTTTGACAATCGTTTTTGAGCCCAGTCAGTTTTTCACTTCCTTAATTAAAATGCTAGCTCACTTCACAGTACAGGGTAAAAACAATCACTATTCTTTTAGACATTTGATCGACATCAGAGAAACATACCTGAAAATTAGACCAAATATTTTCACTTTAGGAGTTTGAGTGGCAGAACTGGGAATTTGCCTCTTTCTAAATGAAGAAAGACAGTTCTAAGGAGAAGCTGACCTAACTTGAAATTCCCCATAGAGAGCAGCAAGTTTCCTATGGTGGGTAAGGGTTATGCAAATATTTTAATATTTCTCACTCAGCTTTAAAAAGTACAAGAGGAATAGAGTACCCAGAATTGGAAAAAATATATATATATACAGATTAAATAACTGAAAAAGAGCCTTAGAAATTGCTAGTCTCCAGCTAGGGTTGTCCTCTTTGCTGAGTTTCACTAACAGCATTCCTCCTTTAAAATCATATTTTAAAATTGGGTTCACTTAGCACATCTTTCGGAGGATGTTCTGTAACCAGGAAACTGAATGCTAATGCAGGGGTTGCTATGGTAAGCAATCTCTTCTATTGAGTAGGAGAATAAATAGTCCCGTGAATTTCTAAATCGATAGTTGAGACTGAATGTGATACAACGGGTATTTTAGCCTTTAAATATAGGTTTGAAACCAGAAGATAATGTCTTCTCTGTAAAACTCTAATATAATTATAGATGCTCCAGGAAATTTTATGTTCACCTTTTGAAGCTGATTGTTGATATTTTTTCAAAGTTTTTACATAACCCACTAACATTTACTAACATTTACTTTTGTTGATTTTTTTTTTAAATTCTTTTAGCTAGATAAAAGCAGCTGAGGGGGGAAAAACCTGCTGATTTTCACAGTTGAGAAAAACTGCTTGCAGAATTAGACCCTTATTAATGAATGCTTAGTAAGCAAAAAGTGTTTAATGAACATTAAAAAACAATAAAATAGGTATGATTTAAAATTTAAAAAGAGCAATTGTCTTTCAAAATGGCATCGTCTTTTCCTGAGAAATAAAACTTGATAGTGTGCACATTGCCGTCTTGTCTCTCTGGTCCCATTTCACCTTGAGAAAAGGCTTATTTTTATGGACTTTATCAGCAGACCCCATGCCCCCAGCTTGCAGTTGCATTCATCCAATGGGAAATACCAACTGGAGGTTGGAAAGAGATGGGAAGAGAGATTGGGCTCCTATCTGCCACATTGCTGGAAGTTAGCTGTAATTTGCCACCTACAGGTCCTGGGGGTAGTTACTATTTCCTCCCAGCCCATTCTACCCTATAGGTAATAAAGAACTCCTTACTAGTAAGAAAATCAAAGGGGTTTCATGCTAATCAAAGGGGTTTCATGATTTTCTTGTTGGGTCTCCTACATGTGCACAACCATGTAAATATATTCCTTTAATTCTCATATATTTCCTCATTTGATTGTGTTTCTGATTCCTTCAGAACCCTGACAGTGCAAGAGTCCATTTTCCATTAAAATGGGAAAACATATATTTAGATGGACAATAAAATATTATAATATATATTAAACACATATTTTAGAATACTGCCATGCTATTGGGCTACTTCAATGCCAAATTTTCCACCTGTCTGTTAATATAAATTATATGGTCAAAAATATTCACTTTGTGATATTCTTATGTATAATTTCATTCATAATTTGTATCTTGTTAACTTCCTATTTCCTGTGTATTTTTCATAACTTTATCCACCAAAGTAGAAACTGTGAGGAATATTTCCAAATGGCTTCTGTACTCATCTTTGTACGAAGCATTTAAACTCTTCCTGCTATTAACCACGGTGCTGTGATGGAGTTTTCCTCTGTGCACATTGTCTTTCACACCTGGCACTCATTTCCCTCTGACATGTGACCTTCAGATGGTGGCCTCCAACCCAACATTTATTCTCTCCACTCTGGAGTCTCTTGTATGAATCTATCGGTTGTGACCAAGCAGACAAGGGGCAAAAAATCTGAGTGTCACAGTGGGCAGGTGTGGCTTTCACATACAAGTAGGAATGCCTTTCTCTCTTGCTGACTTTCTCTTCCTACAAAGAGTCTGAATTCACTCAAATCCCAAATCCTTAGACTCTGACTCAGGTAAGCAGGCACACATCAGGAAAGAATCAGTGCCACCTCCTGCTCTGTCGGGGCACTCTTCTCATTAGCAAAGCCCATGAGCAAACCCTGACCACCACCGCCCCCCAAAGTGGAGTAATTGTTCAAGCAAACGTCAGCTTTTCCCAATAAACTACTGAATGTGTTAGGTATTCTCCCTGTGCATGGCAGTGTTAATGGCAAGCTTCTCTGTCTCCTACCTATCTGTGAGTAATGCACTGGATAGAGCCCCAGAGGGATAAATAAGCCAGTGCAGTTTTCAAAACTACCTAATTTGCAACCAGAAAAATAGTTCAGGTATGCAGAGAAATAGGTTTGTTAAGTTTTAAGTGGAAAAATTACATTATAAGTAAAGTACAGCCACATGTACCTATGACTAAGTCTACACCACCCCCTGATCAAACATAAAAACAGACTTAAAAGCTAAAGTACGAACTAACATTGAACATAGACAAATTCTATTAGAGTCCACTCATAAATACCAAGAGAAATATGTAAATAAATTCAACAAAGATATGTAACAATTCATAGCAGAATTATTCTTAATGACTAAAGTTGAACAGCCCCCAAAGTGCTCATATGTATATTTAATATACAGATTAATAAACACTACACAGAATGAAAAGTAACACTCTATAAATATATGCAAAATATGGATACATCTCACAAACAGTGCTATGATAAAGAAGCAAGACATGTGTATAAAATAACACCTTTTTTTCTAAGACACTGAAAGATGCAAGGCTAATCTGTGTTACTGAAGCAAAGGTGTTAGCTACCCTTGTGGTACTGCTGTAGGAAAGACTCTGAGAAGGGATTTCTTTCATACTGGTAACACTGAGCATCTTGACAAGGGTAAATTTATACACATACAACACATTTTCACAAAATTAACATACGCCATCGAGAGAAAGGATGTCTAGGAGTCCACCGCATTTAATGCAGAATCATTAATCCACTGTCCAGGAGCTCTTAATCTTCCTTTAGGATAGGGACAGA